TCCCTTAACCCCTCTCTGTCTCATTATTATTTGTTCTTTACTTCTCTTGTTTTACTTCTCCTTTTTGTGTGTGAAAACAAGATATTTATAATACAAAGTGGTAGCCCAAATTTATAGTAACAGCTTTCCCAGGGGAACACAATTATTTTAGGAGGAGAAACAAGAATACATTAAGAGCAAAAAGCATTTATAAAACAATAAAGAGGATTTGGACTTCACAAAGCTGTCAAAAAAAAAAAAAAAGAGGCTATAGGAAAGGTGTACCTGAGCTCCATACAAATTTAAATCTAAATTCTGCTTAAAGAACATTCATATCACAAAGGTGATACTGTAGAATTATGAAATGTTTGACAAAGCTTGAGAAAATTAGAACAGGAAGATAAGGAGAAAAACTAAAACATGTCCCTAGTTTTAAAGTTTTCTGGGTGAAAATGATAAAATTATGTCAAGACTCACTAATATATCTTTAAAAATATTAGATTTGCATAGGAAAAGGATTTAAGATTTTTGCTTTGTTTCCTTTTTTCATGAAGCATGTGTTTTATCTTAAGCCATTTCACTAATGCCATTACATCTTGGGATCAGGCTGGGCCATTTGACTTAACAACCTGGAGACTTCTAAGTGACAGTGATAAGATCTGACTCCTGGTATGGGTGTTCTATTGTCTGTCACAACATGAAAGGTATTCACTTAACAAAAACAAAACAGAATCAGATAATAAAGGGTAGTTTCCTCTTATTCAATTAAAGATAAAAATTATTTACACCAAATAAAATTAGAAATCTGCTGCAATTGTTTGTTCTCATCTTGTGGTGTAGGGCTGGGAGGGGGTTCTTTTTTGTTTAAATGGCTTCATTGAGATATAATTCACATAGTATACAATTTATCCACTTAAAGTATACAATTCAGTGTTTTTTAGTATAGCGATAGCTTTATGTAACCATCATCACAATCTAATTATAGAATATTTTCATCTCCCCTAAAAGAAACATTGTACCCATTAGCTGTCACTTTTCACTCTTTGCACCCCCTACTCTACCCCTAAGCAACCACTAACCTACTTTATTTCTATAGATTTGTCTGCCATGGGCAATTACCTTTTAATTGTCATTCATGGCCTGTCCTGCTAAAATAAATTATTTTTATTTATTTTACATTATCATAAGGACAAGAAAAATAAAATAGAGCCCTCAAAAATATGAATAGGCATCACAAAAACTATAGCAGGGAGCCAAAAAAGATGTTAAAACCAACAGTATCTGATGTCTTAAATAAATACTCACCAAGCAGTAAAGTTGTGGCAATGACAGATTGTGGTATCACTTAAGAGAGTCAAATGCTAGTAATTTTCAATGTAAACCTGAAGCAGGCTTGGTTTACAGAACTTCTTCTGCTCATAAGAACAGAATATTTGCAATCAGGAAAGTTGCAAATGCAATTCCTGACTTCATTGCTCACCAATTGTGTGACTCTGGGCAAGTAACAGAAGATTTATAAACTTCAGTTTCCTCATCTGTAATACGGGAATAATGGTGGTACTAACCTCATGAAGTTAGTATGGGAATTAACACATGTAGAGCTTTTAGAACCAAGACCAGCACATAATAAGTGCTCAATAAATGGTAATTATTTTATCACTTTTATTCATTAGAATTCAATCATTCAGGTCAAATTCCCAAATGGAATTCTTAGTTATGCCAGCTTACCCTATGCCACATTTACTTGGTATTTTCAAAGTAGCTAGTCAAAAAAGTTTCCTGCCAATAAAGTAATGGATCTAAGATACTGTAATAGATAGAGAAATAATAGCATTGATCAAGTATGATAAGAATAGAGCTGGAAACCAGTCCGTTGCTTTAGAGCCATGTGTTCTATAAATAGTAAAAGTGCTAATTTATTATTCTCACCTCACACTCATGTAACAGATTTGCCTTTTTCATATTAAAAGAAAAAATTATGGCAGCAATAAAACTCATATAATGGTATTATCCATGTCTAATAAAAAATAAAGAATAGTGTTAGAGTATTATAAACTACATAGAATCTCTTATCCTTGAAATGTTTAACTCAGACTCTAAATGTGTGACTTTTAAATCTGTGACTGTGAACTGAAATTGTAATTTGGTTTTATTTTCATAAGTGTAAGGAAGCATAACCACCAATAGTTTCATTAATTTCTCTTCGATTCCAATACAAAATGGCTTTTGCTAATAGGACCGATATGTTAAATGGTGTTTCTTGAATATTATGTATTTTCTGTTCTTTTCAAAAGTGTGGTGGTCAGTAGTATTATGTCCCAATCAGATGATTCATGATACACAACATTTTCATAGTTGGGAAATGTTAACACTTTACAGTCCTTGCTTTGTAACAAAAGAATTAATCACAGACAACACATTTTCATTTTCCTTTGACCCTTGAGACAACTTAAATGATCTGGTTTGCATGCAGCTCCATTTTGGGCCAACATTATCGATCTGTGTCTACATTTTCACCCCAGGCTTTACTGCTCTTGGCATTGTTTTGTATTTGCATGAACATTTGTAAAATTTTTTTTGCATGACAAGTCATCAGTAATGTTGAAGTTAAATGTCTAACATACCTTGCAATATCACATGCCATTAATTCTTACATAATTTTTTTTTCTTTTATTTTCAGTTACTAAAGTTTAAATATGCTTGAAATGTAAAAGTGGCATGAAACTGGAGTGATGCAAGAATATTTAATGTTACTTTAAGGACTATAAATTTTTAACTGGGAAAATTTGGGGGCAATTCCCAATCTTATCTTTGGATACCAACCCTCAATTATGAGTGATGATAAAACTATACTGAACATAGGTGCTGTCAGTAGAGTAATAAGGTCTCATGGTCTGATACTTCTTTTTTTCCTGAGAAGGTATTTTTAGTATTTGAATGTAAAGTATAAAATTTGTCCCCTGATTTCAGAAATTATTAAATATTTGATTTATTATTTTTTGTAAAGCCTTTTTAATGGGCATAAAATTAAGCTCCATTACTTTGGTGAAATTTTCTACCACCTAAAAAAGTAATGAATCACTTACTGAATGACAGTACCAACATTTTAGTATTTAAATGTGTCCTAAATGAACATGATCACCAAAATGGATATTTGATATAGGGGGTGCATGAGTATACAAAGAAAATAAGTTATTTATACCATTTTGTCAAGCTTCAAATCCATTAAGGGCACATGACTAATTCCCACCAAGACAAAACACATATATCCAAACAACTGCCCTTTCCTTCCAAGTAGTCACCTTGCTGGCTCTCCATTTATTCCTACCAATTGCTATTGCCAAAACTGTTTTGGAATACCCCTTTTCAAATTATCTCAGAGTCTTTGACACATTCATTTTAATACCTGTGTAGTAGCAACTCTTGTTCCTTGAGGAGTGATTTTGATTTTGTTAAGCAGCTGAAAAACCCTCAGAGGCAAATCAGTCAAATAAGGATAGTCATCAAGCTGGCAAAGCATATTTTTAAAATGATATGTGAATATGAAATTAATAAGACTTGTGTAGCCTCTAGCTTGTGAAATGACTGTGAACAGATTTCGCAAAGAAGAGCCCAACAAAGCATTTACATAATAACAGCAGCAGTGGAATAAATGACATTTTCTTAAGGAGTCTTTTAGGCAAGTGCATGCTATTCACTTAAATGAATAAATTCTAATTATGAATTTAGAATAAAATTTAGAATAAATTCTAAATTCTATTATGTATATAGGTATAATTTTTAATTCAGCCTCATTTACTCAAGGAGTGGTTTATAGTTTTAAATACAGTCATTCATGTATTCTTTTAGTCTTATCAGAATATAAATCAGTGACTGTCATTTTTCCTTTTTGCTAAGTGAATATCAAGTTAATATTCCTTTAGCAGTAATTTTAACAGATTTTGTTTGACTGCCTCCTGGCTGCCACCAAGTAACTCTGTTGGTATGAGACTCAACTTCTCTATGCCTCTAGCTCCCTGTCTATGAAATGAGAGCATGGGGCTAAATTATCTTTAAAATCCCTTTTGAATAAAAATGATTTTTTGTTTTGTCTTATTTTGTAGAGATAGGGTTTTGCTCTGTTGCCCAGGCTAGAGTGCAGTGGCCCAATCATACCTTATTGTAACCTCTAATTCCTAGGCTCGAGTGATCCTCCTGCCTCAGTCTTCCAAGTAGCTGGGACTACAGGCATGAGCCACCATGCCCAGCTAATTTTTTCCATTATTTTTATAGAGACAGAGGTCTCCCTATGTTGCCCAGGCCAGTATTGAATTCCTGGCCTCAAGGGATCCTCCTATCCTCCTCCCAAAGTGCTAGGATTACAGGCATGAGCCACTATGCCAGCCTGAAGAAAAATGTTATATTGTAATTATCATATATCTGTGTGTGAGACTATAATTATGCTATATCATAAATCTACACACTTCTCTGTGCAGGTTTAATTAAATCTAAACTGAAGTAATTCAAATTCAAGGTATTTTATAAGACATCTAGATACTGAGAAGAAAACTAGTTTCTCTAGTAAGGTTTTTTTCTACCCAATGATGATAAGATGACATTGTACTTGTTTATATTGTCTTTTGAGAGTCTCCCAACCTAAGAGCTGCTACTCTTATCCTCATTTTGCAGATGAAGAATCTGAGGTTCAGAGAGATTCAGCTACCTAAGATGAGGGACTAGCAAGATGTAGAGCCAGGACAAAGACTCAGGGTCTTCTGCTTCCAATTTAAGACTCTTCCTCCACCATCATTTATCTGTAACCAATCTTTTGATTGGGTGGCAATTTTTCACCTGTGCCATCATTCAGAATTTACACTCCTTGGAAATAAAATCTGCCTTTAGAAGCCTCTGGCACCTCTTTAGAGTATCCTCTTGCGTCACTACAGCTCTCTGTGCTTTTACAAACTAGTTGTTTTGTCAGCATGAGTGTGACAGCAATTAGACGTCCCCTGTTTTTGCCCCATGCCTTTTCTCCTTCACAGTCATTCAATGACAAGCGTAAAAAGAGCTTCATCTTTTCACGAAAATTCCCATTCTACAAGAACAAGGAGCAGAGTGAGCAGGAAACCAGTGATCCTGAACGTAAGTAGATTCTCAAAGATAATGTCACATGCAACACAAGAGAAAAAAAATTCTTCACGGGCAACACGCATGATGTAGGCTCTCCCACGCCACACGCCTAGGCAAACAACACGGCAGGCAGGCAGGTCAGGTTTACTACTGTGACCAGTGTTTGACTGCAGTCTGGATCCTTCCTTTCATATGGCTTTTCTTTGCAGAATGCGTTGGAGAGGGATTTGCCGAAGCTGGGACTTGCTTCCAACCAGCGTTTATCTTTGACCAGGACCATGTCTGGTTTGCCTTCTCTATCATGCAACTCTCTAGTGCTTAAGACAAATTACTGTCTTAATGGAAATATTGGATTCTATTGATACGTATATACTTTTCGAATGCTAGCTAACTGGGAACAGTTTAATGACCTTTATTGATCAATCGCACATTTGCTCACTCTTTCCGTCCCAACAAATGTTAAATGCCTGCTGTGAAGTGAGCTTGTACGGTGGATACGAAGCCTAAGAATTTCTTATGAAATTTGGAGAGGATTATTCCTCTAAGTGGGACATTTCTGTGGCAACATTATTGACAGTGGGCAAAATGACATTTGCTGAATCTTCCTTGGTTTTTTTTTTTTTTTCTTGCAATTTCCTTCTTAAACCTTTCGAGTTGCTTTGCAAATCAGAAATTTCCTTCTTGAGTCTCAGCCCAGGGACTTTGGGGTGAAAGTTGTTTCCAAAGAACAGAGTGTGGGATCCAGATTGTTAAGGCAACATGGTCTGTCATGGTAGTATCCATTTCAACTCCACTGACTTCTTCCTTCCTCTTCCGTGGCTGTTCTTCCTCTCTCATTGCTCTCTCTGGGGACTTCCATGCAGGACATCCCCGGATTAGGTGACGACGGTTATGGGACAAAGACTCTGAGTAAGTTTCCAGGAATGGTCACTGTAACTTTTCTTTTCTTTTCCTTTCCTTTTGAGTTTGGCTTTTGTTCCTTTTCTTGAGGGCCTTTCACTCCTAGCATGCACAAGATACGAGTTTTATTTGTTACCTAGCTGTGAATGCTCCTACAAAGTAATTTTCAATCGTTTTGTTCTGCATGTCAGCATTTAAAAGCAAAGCGTGTCAGGCACTCTAACTTCTGTTGCAGTTAACACCATCCCTTTCTGACCATGTGATGAGATCAACATGGTCCTGATGCCCACTGTAGCATCACTTGCTCTGCCGCCTAATCCCTTTCCAAGAGCAAGAAGCCATGTTGAAAGAAAGGGTGAGCTAAGTGTTCTAGCATAGCAAAGTAGAAATGTATTTTATGTCCTGCATTTTCACCTGGAAATAGTTAATGACCTCGCCAAATTGCATAATTGGGTTGTATTTTACTGTTAGTAAAGGAGCTACTTTATAGTCAAAAGGAACATGCATTCTCAAAAAGTAGATATTAAGCTATTTGATCTTCCATAAGTAATTGTTATTAACTTTGATTGATTTTTTTTCCTGACTTGCAGTGATCCTGCTTGAAACGTTTGTATAATAAGGTTTTAGATATGTATTAATATGTTTTTCTATTAGTGATTTATTAGCAGTATTACATAATCAGGTCTTCATTTTATAATATAGAGTGAAAAATAAAATATATTAAACCTTTACATTTTCTAATTATTGATGTCTTTAATCTGTGTCTCATTGCACTGAGCAATTAAAAAATAATTATCCTATGTATCAGTATACTATATTATGATTTTTTTCTTCTTTAATAACTAACCCCATTGTGTAGGCACCAATGAAATAAGAACAGAGTTTTGTGTCTTTTGCAACTGTATCAAATGTTCAATTTTTGTTTTGCTTTAATTTAACAGCTATGGGCAACAGTTTTAGAAGCTGTTCATTTCATTTGTGTAAAACAAAATACTGTTAAGCTGGACTTTGTTTTCAAGGGCTGTTTCTATAACCCTGTGTAATGATACCCTTCATAATTCAAATTGTTAACTTGGAGAATTTATATATATATAAATATAAAACAACTTATTTATATATATATATATAAAACAAAATATGATCAAGAGTACTGATCTTCTTAAAGATGAAAACTTTATTTTTGAGTCACTGTATGGAATATAATACAAAATTTTTCTTGAAATTCAAATATCGATTTCAACATTATCTGGATAGCATCAAGCACCACTAGTGAGAGTTTGTAAATCTCCAGCTTTGGAGGGGAAAGAAGCATTTTCAGATCTTGTTAATAATAAACATCACTAAAAAGTAGTTGCCATTGAAGTGTCACAAATCCAGATGTGCAAATGTTTTCTTACTCTTTAAAAATTGAACAGATTTTTAAAAGTACAAATACCCCAAGTCAAGGTACTTAATAATGTACATGAAGATACAAATATTGTTGAATGTGTGCCTTGACTTTCTTTTTAGTAATAAGAAGACAGATTTGCACAGATTAATCAACAATTCTTTCCTTAGTGCCCCTTTACATTTGTAAAATGTTTCCCCAAATTAATGGCACAGTTCTGGTCATAGACCAAGGCAAAGAGAAATGATTCGTGTGAATTTAACGTATGCTTTGGTTTTCATTAGTTCATGCTCTAAAACTAATCTATCCAATTGGCAAGAGCATATAATATCAAACACACTTCAAAGTGCTTATTTTTACTGTTAAAAATAATGTTATATAGTCTTTTTCTCATTCTAAAAATGTACAACAAAAATATTTTTTAAATGTACAATAGTTGTCACTGCTTTAAAAACTGATGTTATTGTTAGTGAGCTTCAGAAACCAAATAGTTACATATTTGTCATTTAATTAAGGTGATATACAAACAAGCTGAAAAGCTGATGAGTTTATCTTCTGTACCTTAAACAATATAGCTAAAAGAAATGATTTTGGAAATAAAACCTCTAATTCTGCCATATAACAATATATGATATCCCTGTTATGTTAGCTAAACTGTGTTTGTATGAAAAAACAACTTTGAATATCACTGTACAAGCATGTCTTCAACATGAATGAAAAACATGTCGTGCCAAGACTTGTGCTGGGTATCAGGCCATTTATCTCCTGCCTGTTCCATTTCTCCAGAATTCAATAGCTATCTAAGCAAGTATCTTAAAATAAAAACAAGGAAATATTGAACTATTTCATAAAATACTTTTTAGTGACTTGATTCTTCCTCCAAGATTTTCTACTTACTCACTGAAGCAGAAAAGATCTTCAAGAATCTCTTTTTATCCTGAGAATTAGTTTAAGAAGTACTTAAAAAGAAATAAAATTCAAGGGATTCCAAACATCAATTGACAATTTGAAATAGTGTGCCTGCAAAATGCTTAGAGGCTAAAATAGAGAAACAATAAAGCCTACAAGAAAACAGTGTCTACACAATAGAAACTCCTGAATCTATAGTCAAGAAAACATTCAGTCCAGACACACTGGCCTTTATTGTACAAATTTGGAAAAATCAGAGCCATGTGAATGGTTTATAGTATTTATAAGAAGAAAATTGTCTAGGTTGACATTATACTTTTTTTGTAATTAAAGATATTTTCTTCGGTTTCTTAAAAAGAAGGAACAGCAATCAAGCAGCAGATTCCTGTAAAATGAAGATAAAGTTTTCATCTTCTTTATCTTATCTGAGTTTTCTTAATGCAGCCTCCTCTGCGGCCTTTTACTTGCCTTTTGCTCACATTTCTAGTAGCCTTGCATGAGTGTACTCCTTTCAGTTCTGGCTGCTTTCCAATGCTTGGTATCTCTTTAATTTGCTGTGCTGTTCTTGCAGAACATGTTTCTTCTAATGCCAGCGATAGCGAAAGTAGCTACCGTAAGTTATTGCTTTGGTTTGCTGTTCTTTTCTTTGCAATTGCCTCATTGCCTGTGGTGGTCATTTCAGATTTTTGTTGTTGTTGTTTTTCAATTGCTGCCTTTTATCATCCTTATCCAAAGTAAATGGCTTGAAACAAAATCATTATTTGATGTAGAAAGATAAAAAAGACAGTAGGGCCATCAGTGGACCCTTATGTGATTTGTGCTAGCAATAGCAGTCTTGCCAAAACACAATTCCAACCTCAGTGGTGACCCAATGATTCAATTCTCACAGAGAAGGCATGTGAAAAGTTCATTGTGATGAATTTTGATATTCTAACCCCCCTAAATTAATTTAAACTCCCTGCAGGAGGGTTGAAAATTCATCATGCTTTTAGTTTCCTTCTCATTTTGCCTTTTCTCTTCTGTTCTTGACTTCCCTTTACCAAAGAAATCTTTATAAATTACAGTGTTCCTTTTAAATCATGTGTGAATCTTTTACATCACTTTCTCCTTGATTAATTTTTAAGGTAGATACTATAATATATCTAACTTTATTTTTGTGATGGTTGGAGAAGTGATGAAAAAGTTTGATCCTTTAATGTTAAAGGAACTTACATTTTTTTTTAAGTGAACAAATCTTCTTGGGTCAGAAAGCTTAACTGAAAAGGTAGGTAACTATTTAAAATTATTTCTGGTCTTTATTTGGTCACTACAAGCCATTTGCTTAGCATATGAAAATATTCACCAAATACCAAACACATCCTTTCGATCAGTTCTTGTGGTTTCTTACCACTTAATTACTGGTTTTTGGTGACTAACATAAGTACATAATATTACTGGAATCCTTACAAATTTGATAATATTAATGTGTATTCCTTAGTGAAATGGATTACACAAAAAGCAAAATTGCCACAGATGTTAGAAAATTGCAGGCCCAATGCATATGACCCACAGATACCAAGGCAGAAATTGGTATTGTCTATTGCTTGAATATTGTATTAATGGAAATCTGGACTTGTTTTGAGTTCCTCCCCCATTGTAGCATGGTACTTTACAAACCCATGCCTTTTTGAAGTGGAGTGCCAAATAGCGTTCATGTAGTAAGACATGTAATTTGGATTTTGAGAAAGGCTTTGGAGAATCAGGTTTGTGACAGGTAGAAGAAAGGCACAAAAGAGGAAAAGGTGGCAGTAGGGGGAAAAAAAGCACAAAAAAGAAAGATGGCAGATGGAGATGGTGTCAGAGGAGGAAAATGATATAGTGCAAAGAATAAAATGAAAAGAATTGTGATGAGATACCCTTGATCAATCAAATGATATTAGAAACACCTAATTTTCTTATTGATGAAAGTCTTATTGTTAGAAAGAATTCCATCAAGTCTTATTGATGGGAGGATTTAAAGAGTTCCTTTTCTCTACATGGTCCTTAACATTTTTACATTCTTTCTACTCATAATTTTATGATAATCCCAACTTCAGAAAAAATTTTCCTCTCGCCCCTCTTCATTTGATTTTGAAACAAAAACCTAAGCTAAGAAGAAATGACCAAAGTTTGTGTGACCCATGAACTGCCTTCAATTTAATATGAAGAAAAATATAACTTATTTGTCGGGTTTCATGAAGACCAATGACACTAGTTTCTTTGATGTTTAGTTTTTAATCTTCAAGTGTTGTGCTTCCATCCAGTAGTCATAGATATAGAAAAGCAAAACATCAAGCCTTGTTCTTTCAGTTTTTTTATGGAAACTATATACTGCACAAGAAATGCACACTTTTTTAGAGTATTTTAGAGGCTCCTTTTTTATTTCAGAGATGGAAATATTTCTCCCAGAATTATTAAGTTATAAAAATTGGGCCAAGGCTTTCAGCTCCTTGACAAGTTTTTGGAGTGATGCTCCAAGATAACATCAATAATTATTTTCACTCTCAAAAAGTAGGTGCACATAAATGTTTACAGAGTAAATAAAGAAAACACTTGCAAGCACCTTGAATTATCTATGAGAAGAGAGAGGAGTTGGAACTGGATTCTTTGATATTAATGGGGCAAATGTGGAGTCCAATAATCTGCATTGGTTTGGGTCTCATCTGAGATTACAGAAGGTCAGCCACTCCGATTGTTTTCTTTACAATGAACAGAAATAAGAAGGACCTTTGTCACAGCTCAGAGGAGAAAAATGACATTTCTTGCTCCAGGGTGGAAATACAAAAAATTCCAAAAGAATGTTTATTTATTCCTTTGGCATCTACTATATGCCACATCTTCATTAGATACCCTGAGACTCAATATGAATAGCAACTCACTCTCGATCTCAGCACACGTATAGTGAGAGAGGGAGATCAATAAATGAAAAGATGCACAAAGTTTCACGGGTATGAAGATATGGCTCAAGAATAGTGGGAGCCTCAGAGGTAGTTTCAGAGAAGTGGCCTTTGAGTTGAGCTATGGAAAGATGAAGAACTCGCCAGCTAGACAAGATGAGGAAGTAACTTCATAAAGAGTAATGGCACAACAAAGGCAAAGAGGTTTGGGAAAGACGTGTTTTCCAGAAAGTATCAACTTTGAAATCAGGCTATATTTTTCTAGTGAATTCCTGGCTTTTGCTGTAATTATGACTAATTTCATGTCTTGTGAATACCAGTGTAAACAAATACAAAAAAAAGACCCTTTTTTCATCAATACCCAGGTGTTATATTTTAGTCTTACAACCATTCCACCTCCACTCTGGGGACAAAATGGCTTTTAAAATGTTTAAAATGCCAGAAGTTAGAAATAAAGACCCAGGCCACTGTGTTTCACAATCCAGAGTGCATTCATACTGCATCTTGGAGTTACACATTGTGACAACCTTATGTGAAAGTCCCATATGTTGCCTGAGATACATCTGCACGCACACAGATGCACTCAACCCTCAATTTCTATTAATAAATAGCTCAGATCTTTGCTGCACTATCTCAAACATTATAGAATCATTTTTTCCAAGCCCAACTATATTAAGCACCAGCTAAAAATGCAATTAAAGTACACATTGTCTAATTATGCAAAGTGCCATCTCAAAACTATCTTAATTATGGGCTAATTCCAGATTTCTGTCAATAAAGTAGTAATATGAAAACTTGTACTTTTAGCTGTTTGTTAGTATACCTTTCAATTTCCCTTATATTTGGAGGTGACAAATAACACCAGCAGATATAATGGGGACTATGCAAATCTCTAAAGCAGAAGACCTGCCTTCCTTGAAGCTCAGCAAAGCTCTTTATGTCCTCATGGATGTGTGGGAGCTGATGACTATCTTTCTAACCCATTAGTGCTCATCAGTTAAGTAGGATCTTCAAAACAAGGATCTTGAAGAAATGATTTGAATGAAATTGAGGTACTGGGATGAGGAAACCCCAAACCTCTAGAGTTAGTCAAAATGGTGCCTATCCTTCTTATTCCACTCTTCTCAGCTATTGCCCTTAGATATCTTTTTTTTTTTTTTTTTTTTTTTGAGACAGACACTTGCCCTGTTGCCCGGTAAAGTACCTTGGCATCAGCGTAGCTCAGTGCAACTTCAAACTGCTGGCTCAAGTGATCCTCCTGCCTCAGCCTCCCAAGTAGGTGGGACTGCAGGCATGCGCTACCACACCAGCTAATTTTTTTTTAATGTTTTTAGTTGCCCAGCTAATTTATTTCTATTTTTAGTAGAGACAGGGTCTGGCTCTTGCTCAGGCTGGTCTCAAACTCCTGATCTCTAGCAAACCTCCCGCCTTGGCCTCCCAGAGTGCTAGGATTGTAAGCGTGAGCCACCGCACACCACACCTGGCCCTTAGATGTCTTTTAAAAGCGGTTTTTCATTACATCTATTATCTCATTTGATTTCTGCAACAAACATATTAGATATATTTCACCATATAGCCCCCTTTCCACATGAGGAAGCTGAAGCTCCAAGAGGCTACCTGCCTCACTAATAAATGGTAGCACTGCAAGTGCAACCAAGACATTTAAGTTCTGAATCCCATACGTTTTTCACTTTTCCCTATAGTTTTAATCCAAGCCTCTCCACATTGACATTGACATTGACATTTTTTTCTAGTACATTTCAACCCTTCCATCAGATTAATACAAACAGCAACATTTATATTGCTTTTACTATGTACTAAGTCTTAAACTTGTCTGAGTCCTTAACTATGTACTAAGTCTTAAACTTGAACTTAAAGCCTGTATGTATATTAACTAATTTAATTTTCTGAACGTCCTATGGAGATACTGAGCCGCTAGTTTACTATGTGACCTTGAAGAAATTGCTCGAAGCCTTTAAAGCTCATTTCTGTCCTATGTAAAATGAATAGCTCAGATTAGAACAAAAATGGCAGACAGATTTTAATCAAGATTCCAACTCTAACCAATTGGTAATAGCTGCCTGAAGAGCTGTCGTGAACAGTATTTTGAGACCACATCGAGGCCCGCAGTAATGCCAGGATCGGGGAGTAACATGTGCTGTATACTTGCCCGCTATGAAGCACATGGACTCCAAACCCTTCCTTTGCACGAACAGTCTATGGCTCCAAGATCCTAATTTGTTCTTAATAATCATGATATGCAGGCACTAGAAGCTAAATCTAGAACATTTAACTCTACTACCACTGGTTTTCACTTCCTTCACCTCTCTCTTCTCGTTTCCAAGAATTCCTAAAGGGCAGCAACTAGCTTTTCTCTAGCATGAAGGTATATCAGTGTCTCTCCTTGTGACTCGCTTCCAGTTTACACACAGACTGTTTCATGGGGACTGTGACAAAGTACCCTGCCAAGATTCTGACAGCTGCAGGCGTCCACGCACAGCTCTGCGCTGCTCTCCCACTTTCAGCCATGCGGCTGCCAAAACAAGACCAGGAAATTGTTTTGTACCTTTTTGTCAGCTGTTATTTCTAAGTGCCAACCCCTCCAGAGCAAAAAATAGAAAAACTCCTAAGGATGACTATTTTATGGAGGTGACACAGCAGCATTAAAAAAAAAAAAAAATAGAGCTTGTGTTTAGAGCTGGACACCGGATGCCTCTCAGTGACTCTGACCTGGTTTCAGCTCCTATCTCTGTCCCCACCCCTGTGTTCATTTGTAAACACTACCTCTACGCCTAGCCCCACAGAGAATTCTACTTCTTTCACCCTTTTGGAAAGTGCGATATACTCAACAAGAGCCCAAAAAAAGGATGTGGTATTAGAACTTAACTCCACTACTTACTAGCTGAGGAAACAGGCCTCATTGACATCTCGAGCCTCAGCTTCTGCCTCTGTGAGATGGGGACCACTGGGGTACCTACCTCAAGCCATGGCTGTGCAAAATAAGTGGACGTGAAACCCCCTCAGGAGCTGCAAAGTCCCACACAGACACGAATATTCTTTCCTTCATTGCTGTGACTTTTTTCTTCCCCTTCTGTCTCCTTCCCATTGCCCATAGGGCTTTTCATTCTTGAACATAAAGGTAAAATTTGGCTTAAGGTACTGAATTCACAGCAATTATGTAACGCCCACCTGCACAGCTTCCCTGCAGGCTTCCTGGGTATCACGAGGCCCCTGATTGTCACAGGGCCTTGAGAATTGGGATGGCTGTGCCCCAAGGGACGCTGCCAATGATGTCTGCCAATGCTGAACCAGCACCAGTACCTTTCATAGGGAAGTAAATCAAAAGGCAATGGATAAATGAAGAGCTACAGAACTCTAACAAAATTAATCCAAACCATGCTTTGCCCAGCTTTTCTGAATCACAAATCATACATACTGACATCAAATATCTCATTTACAGTTTGCCTTCAGAATGTTGCATCAGAATGATTTGCAAGGCCCTGGAAAGAGACTCTTATGGACACATGATGTGTTTTATTTATTTAGATAAAAACGACACTTTCCAAAGTGAAATGAATATATTGACAGAAGTACAAAGGGGAATCTACCTTTGACCTCATTGCTCATCTCGTTTCCCACGAGTGAGATCAGAGTGCAAATTCATTGACGTCTTTATGTTAAGCACTCAGCTGGGCACTGGGGCACAGTGATGGATGAAACTCTGCCCTTGCCTCTGTGGAGCTCCCCGTCTAATGGGGAGGTGCAAGTATCACCCGACATTTAAAACTTTTGTTAACTTGTGGTCAGAATTCTCCCCTCACATATTAATCATTTCATGAAGATTTCCCCATAAAGTTATAGTCTAACACTGCAATGTTAGTCTACCATGCTTCTATGCCTAAAACTGTACTTTTTCCCCAAGAATTTTTACACTATTCTCAATGCCTATGACCTCTACATAGCTCAGGCTTTAGATAATGGGGCCTTAGCAATCAATCACTGTCACTTTTCTTTTTTTTACCTAGACTCTGTAAATTTCAGTAGTTTATTCAAAGGGAATCATTCTTTTCCTGAATACAAAAAATTGTGACTCTGACTCCTTGCACAGCAAACCCCTGCCCAGATGTGGGAAAGCCCCCTGAACTTCTACGGCAGCCATGGGTAGATGCCACTTAGGTTCTCTGTGCCTGTAGGAGGTAGTAGCTTGGCACAGCAGTGCCATTCTGCGAGAGCAGCCTTGAGACTGAGATAAGATATGACCTAAGCCTGGGGCCATTTCTCACACTTGAGAAAGTAGGATATCCCCACCCCCAACCTGCCCCAGCTACCCATTCTCCAGAGAAGACATCTGTACTTCACAGCTGTACCCGCAAACTGCTTAACTTCCCCAAATCAGTTGTCATTGCCAAAACAGTCTGGTATTAACTTATTATTATGAAATTAATTCACCTTTGGCTGGTGCCATGGCTATTGAAGGCATTGACAGACTGTGAATGTGCTTCAGGGGTGGTGAGGATATAAAGCAATGAGGTGAATTTTCCTTTGCTTTAGGAAAAGCTACCTCATATTCCACTCTTCCTCCACTATCTCCTCTAGCAGACACAAAGTCATTTTCAACAGCCCTAATAACCTATTTCCCCACCGAAGGTTAGTCAGCAATAAGCCTAATATAAATATGGGAGCAGACCCTTCTGGGTTTGCAGCTGAATCGGGCTAATCCCACGGCCAATTAATCCATCAATTGGATAAAATAGATGATTGAAAAAATAATTGCCAAAAACCAATCTACTTTCCATGGTTATTTGTTGAACTTGAGGTCCACCCTAAATCAGAAAGCTTGCAGCAAATGACATTGGAGGGACTGACATTTTACTATTACACTTTGTCTTCTTTAGTTCTCTTTCTAAAAGTTTCAGGGCATAGCTTAGCAGCAATTATAACCAATGATGTAGGACAGTCCCCAATTTTAAATCTCCTTTAATTGACTCAGCATTTTCCTGATGAATTAATATTAGAGTAAAATCCTTAGTGTCCTGATGAAGTTTTTATATCATAAATGAAACAAGCAGACACTTGCTTTCGAACAATGTGCTTCTTAGAGAAATAAAATAGAAGATGAAATAAAAGGCACAGAAATTCTGATTAGGTAGCAGCAAACTACAGAATGGAGCCTTTCTTTGAACTAAATGGCTTCCTTTTAGGTAGCAAATTTTTATGTTGAGGGCATGGCACTCCATTTCTCAATGTCAGACAGGAAGCGGTCTCACAGGGCACTGCCCTACTGCAGATAGCTGGCAGCCAGTTATTGCTTAGAGTTATGACTATGTGATAACCCAACACGAAAATAGTGCTAAAGGGTTTTATAAGGATGAAGAGATTTTTGAATGGTTCAAGGAGAGAGCAAGGAAAATCAACCCTGAACTCTTGTCTGTTTCCTGTGTTTCAGAGCAGGGCTTGTAGCTATAGTATATATATGAATGGTTGTTGGTTCGCTGTAATTTTCCTTTCTTCTCTTCTCAGGAGGGCAAGAAGACCTCATTCTTTCCTATGAGCCTGTCACAAGACAGGAAAGTAAGTTTCCCATTATGCTTTCATTATTGATTTCGGAGCCATAACAAGTGACACCATTGAAAGAGGGGAAAAAGTGAAGGAAAATAAGCTCTGCTTAATAGTTGTCCCCTGGCCGGGCGTGGTGACTCACTCCTGTAATCCTAGCACTCTGGAAGGCCGAAGCTGGAGGATCACTCAAGGTCAGGAGTTCGAAACCAGCCTAAGGAAGAGTGAGACTCTGTCTCTACTATAAATAGAAAGAAATTAATTGGACAACTAAAAATATACAGAAAAAATTAGCTGGTCATGGTGGCACATGCCTCTAGTCCCAGCTACTCGGGAGGCTGAGGCAGGAGGATTGCTTGAGCCCAGGAGTTTGAGGTTGCTGTGAGCTAGGCTGATGCCATTGCACTCTACCCCGGGCAAAGAGTGAGACTCTGTCTCAAAAAAAAAAAAAAAAAAATGGTTGTCCCCAGACCATACCCTACTCTCTCTCTCTCTTTCTCTCTTTGATCCCATCACCAAACAAACAACTTCCCTGCTGAGCATGGGCAGTAGTAGCTCCTAAGAAAATGGAATAACCCTCCAGATGAGTAGTCCTCAGAGGAAAGGAGCACATCCAAATCACCTAAAGAGCTCTAGCTACTGGCCTGGTGGGTAAAATCTCCTGGGAGATCGAGGTTAGCTAAGTATTGAGAAGAACCTTCTAGCATATCTGCCTAACATATCGGCCCTCTGTGGACTGCTTCTTTTTCCTGGAGGTATTTGTACGGAGGCTAATGGCTATCGACGAAGACATTGCAGAGGACATTCAAGCAGCAGATGGGGAGTTGTACCAAATGAACTTTAGGGTTCCTTCTAGTCCCAGATATAAACCTCAGCAGAGTATAGAGAGTATTTTGCTCTGATGAAAAGAAACTATAAAAGCACAAGATGTTATTACTACTAACAATTACTTTTTAAAGTCATGTCTAAACAATGGCTAAACAGCTGGTTTGGATTCTTTTTTCTCCCACTCACTTGACTAAATTCAGTTGTTTTGACATTGTGTAGGCATAACCAGAGAGTAAGCAAAACTCCTCCAAATGGTTCTTTTCGTTGATAAACACTGCAGTTACTTTTCTCTGTTAGTAAATCCCAGAAAGTAGGCACAGCCAACATCCTGAATGTTAAATATCAGTTTCCCTACGCATGGCTGTATGAGTAATTTATCCAATGAAGTAATGGTCTGAGCAGTTCTTACTGCTTGGCAATTTCATCTTAAGACTCACCCTTGCAGGACAGTTTTGCAGTTGTTTCCAAGTCTTTCTCTGCATCTACATCTTCCTTTGCCTTTCTGCAGTAAACTATACCCGACCAGTGATTATCCTGGGCCCGATGAAGGATCGGATCAATGATGACTTGATATCTGAATTCCCTGATAAATTTGGCTCCTGTGTGCCTCGTAAGTATCATTTTTCATTTCTCTAGGGGGGGAAAATAACTTGGATCCCTTTTTTTGAGATGCTAAAATGTAATTCTGTTCCTCCAATAATCTCCCCAGTGATTTAAATACCATCAGTTACTTATTATCTGAGCACCTTATTTAATTTCTCTGCCTAACACTCTTCATCTATGCTATTATGTGTTCTTATCTATTTAGTAAGTAGGGTAATGTCCTCTCTAAACTGACCGTAGTCCTCTAGAAGTTAGGATTAACCTTTGTAGCCCTCTGAGCATTTAAAACAGCATAGGATTTATGATAGGCATCAGTATTTCTTATAGGTTGATTGAAATGCCACTGAAACATCCTTTTCCATAAAACAGAAGAGATCAGAAACAAAGCTGTATATTAAAATCATGTCAGGGTGATTTAGGGTTGTGTGTCAAACAGCCTTTTCCAGCCTCTGGCCCCTCTGAGTGTAGCCCTGTAAATTCTCTCTGTTCTACTCTCCCCTCCCTCCTCCGCCACCACCACACTTTCTCCACTCACTCACCCCCATCTCTGACCCCCTATAGCACAAACAAATGCATGGAGATCTTCTGTGTATGTGGACAGGCCCACAGGAAATTTTAGTTCATTAGATAATGGAGCACTTAAATATGATCCCAATAAATATTTTTCTCCCCCTCTACATTTTTTAAGCTTTATGCTTCCAAGTATCACTAACATTTCAGTACTGTAAATTTCACCTAGAATACTTAAGAATAGTAGGAATTTTATGTGTGCATTACATGGACAAAAGAAGACTAGGATTGATGACTATAGTTCATGAAATGGTTCCCAGCAAGGGCTCTGGGAAGAGATCCTGCCATAGAACATATCCTGAGAAAGTCTTGAGATAGGGAGGAGAAAATGAAACACTAGTTTAGAGCAGCTTCTAGATTGATCTTCCACTTTTGAAAAAAAGAAAACAGAAAGTACTTAAGCATTATTTCCACTTTCCCTTCCACCTTGTATACTCTTTCTCTTTTTTAATTAATACCACAAGTTAAACAAGTAAATAAAAAGTACACAGAATCCCACATAATACTCAGAGACATCATTGTTGATATTTTGATCTATTTCCATCTATTCTTTCTTTCTATGCATGCATTTTTCCATGTGATTGAGCACTTTTTTTGCTTAATGTTTAAAATTTTATATAACTACTTAAAATGATTATTATATAATAATCTTTCTTTATTTGTGGACATTTTGGGTTTCCCTAATTTCCACTAGTATAAGTTATAAGTAAAATACAATTGTAATTATGCATTATAATTATTATTTATAAATTAATATAGTGAATATCCTTAAGGATAAAATTGTATCTGAAGTTTTGATCACATTCTTAGATCAATTCCTAGAAAGAAAATAACCAAGTCAAAGATTGGAAATATTTTAACATTTTTTAAATTGATATTGCTAGATTGTTTCCCCCTTCTCACCAAAAAATCTAGGTGGAATGGTTACAGTTGTTGACTTTTAGTCCCACCTTCACTGTGATTATCTTATTTTACATATTTTTAAATCTCTGAATATATTTATTACTGTATATCCATTTTTTCTCCTGTTTATGTGACATATTTTCCTGCTTTTTTGCTTATTGCAGAATCTTTTATTTTGTGTGAGACATTCTGATGCTATATTGTTGACCATCTGGATTTTGTTATTTTCCTTTATAGAATATTAAGTTTTTGTTTTAGCAGGCAACAATTTCATGACACATCAGCTTGTTCTAGTTGTGATTTAGTTTTAGATTTTATAAAGGAGGGTCTAAAATAAGTCTAGAATAACTAAAGCTTTCTAAAGCATGACCTTTCCAAAGTCTCATCCATATTATATCCAGTTCTGAGTGAACTGCAGTGTCTCCTAGCACTATGTGACCTCTAAGTGCTCCGTTTGGAAGTGACCTCTATACAGAGAGGTGGGGTGAACATCCCCTCATGTATTTCTCTTCTCTCAAGGATTATAGCCCTGAACTGCCTGTTGTCTGATGTCTGAAAACAGTTGTTCCATATGTTTTGTTCAGTTTTATAATTATTTATGGTGGGAGGGTAAGACTGGTACTTGTATTATGTCATGGTCCTTTGTATCACATATTTCTGCATATCTATGTTGACGGCATGGTGGAGAAAATAGATGTAAAGGAAATTTATGAATATAAATGTACCTTAATTTTATTGTTTCTTGTTTTATAAAGATACTACAAGGCCAAAGCGTGACTATGAAGTGGATGGCAGAGACTATCACTTTGTCATTTCCAGAGAACAAATGGAAAAAGATATCCAAGAGCACAAGTTTATAGAAGCCGGCCAGTACAATGACAATTTATATGGAACCAGTGTGCAGTCTGTGAGATTTGTAGCAGAAAGGGTGTGTTCACCAATCTTCTTACACCTCCCTTGAACAAGTTTTCTAGGTGGCAAACTGCATTTTTTTGATCATTACTCTTTCCTGATTGCAGTTGTAAATTTTAATTAAATATTCCTTTTAAGACATCCAAGCAGAGAATCACCTTAGAGCAATGTCATTAATCTTTGTTCTAATCTCGATAAAGTATGCTGACTGACTTGGAGGGAGTGGAAATCAAGGTGATCTATAAACCTCAAGGCAATTAACAGCTTGAAGTTTATGGGGATTCACTTTGCCTTTGATTTACTATCTGAGGTCCCAGTAAACAACACTGAATTTATTAAGGAAGACTTACTACTTACTTTTGTTTGTCTAGATAGGGATCCTCAATTCTTTTGTTAGAGGAAGGTTTTTTTTGACACTTTCATGGAAAAGGGGGAAACAGATGAGGAGGGCTACCCAGCCTGTTGCTGGCAGAAGTTCCAACTTAGAAAAGGTATAGATGCTGCAGTTCTCTTCTTGAAGATAATTTCAGGGCATGGAAAAGAGAAGAATGTTCAAGAGAAGACTAGATAGAAAGGTACCTGCATGTGACTTTAAGATCTGCCTGTAGAGAGATCTTATCTCCTGTGAAAACACAGGACCAATTTCATAGGGGAAAGTATTTGTTGAGTTGATTTGATTTGACATGACCTTTTTCGATGTACTAATAAAGAATTAAACAAGAAATTTTAATGTCTATCTGAGAATATGCTAAGAAGTTCCATCTATTTTCCTGTCTCTCAAAAGTCAGGCTCTATCAGCTATATGAATACTGGTTCTTGTCAGTGTCCTGGATAATTGCATCTATTTTCCTCTTTGAACATGTAGGTACAACTTTCATTAACTTGAAATCTTCTGACTACTGAATAATCAAACAGCATTTATATGTTTGATATAGCCGTTACCCTTTACAGATAGCAAACTTGGAATTTATTATTTAAGAGAGAAAAGGCTTGAACCATCTTAGTGTGTTTCTCATGTGAGTTCAAGTATTCACTGGACTCTATTTTCATCTAGATATTATAGATGAGTTTTTTCCCTTATTATTGGTTTAGGACTGTTCCTATCTGCATAAAGTGCTTTTTTTCTCTTCTTGTGTAAAGTTCTTCTGGCCTCAGGGTAATGAGGCCATTTCTCTCCAGGAGGTAGAATATGATGTGGCAAATGTATCCACTTTTCCAGAAATACTTTATAAGGCAGCCAGCTCCTTGCTCTGAGCACTTATTGCAGTGGCAGCCGAATTAAATGAAGTGTGCTATAATGTAATATGGCTTTTATTTGTTGACAAACAAGAAATTTACATACTTTGTGCAAGCCTCTCTCTCAGCATTGAACCATATAATATTTAAGTTAACTCTTTGTAGGCCGGGCGCTGTGGCTCACGCCTGTAATCCTAGCTCTTGGGAGGCCGAGGCGGGCGGATTGCTCAAGGTCAGGAGTTCAAAACCAGCCTGAGCAAGAGCGAGACCCCGTCTCTACTATAAATAGAAAGAAATTAATTGGCCAACTGATATATATATGTAAAAAATTAGCCGGGCATGGTGGCGCATGCCTGTAGTCCCAGCTACTCGGGAGGCTGAGGCAGAAGGATCACTCGAGCCCAGGAGTCTGAGGTTGCTGTGAGCTAGGCTGACGCCACGGCACTCACTCTAGCCTGGACAACAAAGTGAGACTCTGTCTCAAAAAAAAAAAAAAAAAAAAAGTTAACTCTTTGTGTCTGTCCTCCACTAGACTGAGTATATTGAGGGTGGGATGAATGTAAACACTCAGGAAATGTTTGTTGAATTGTTCTAAATTCACATGATTATGATTCTTCCAAGTTTAATGTTGGGCAGGATGAGACAATAAAGTGACTATTCAGACCAACAATTCTGTCAATGCTCAAGACCTGAGTTTAAGTACTAATTTTTGGGCAGGTTGGTTAAAATATTTCTAAGCCTCAGTCTTCTCTTCTGTAAATGCAATTGATAATACCCGTGGGACTTTCTTCTTGACAATTGTCTTCAGAGATAGCTTATGAGTCATATAAGAATGAACTCAGTCACATGACATATGCCTGCACATCTTCTTTGTGCAGAGCATCAGGTATTTATTTAAGAAAATAAAGTTAACTGAGAGAACACGTGTAAAATGTCTAGCCTGGTGGCAAAACTTAGTAAGCAAGCATTCAGTGATGGCCCTATAATATCAGCTTTTATATACTCTTTGCAGTGATCTTTTTTTTTAATCTTTAGAAATCCAGTATCCCAGATTAGGTATTTCTCAAAAGAAGACATACAAATGGCCAATAGGTATATGAAAAAAATGTTCAACATCATTAGTCATCAGAGAAATGCAAATCAAAACTACAATTAGATATTATCTCACCCCAATCAAAATGGCTTTTATCAAAAAGACAGGCAATAAGAAATGCTAGCAAAAATGTAGAGAAAAGGGAACCCTCATATACCGTAGGTAGGAATGTAAATTAGTGCAACCACTATGGAAAAAGGTATGGAGGTTCTTCAAAAAACTAAAAATAGAAGTACCATATGATCCAGCAATCCCACTGCTGGATATATATCCAAAGGAGGGGAATTCAGTATATAGACAAGATATCTGCACCCCATGTTTATTACAGTTCTATTCATAATTGCCAAAATGTGGAATCAACCTAAGTACCCAGCAACAGATGAATTTAGAAATTATGGTACATATATACAATGGAATATCATATGGCCACAAAAGAGAATGGAATCCTACACCAACATGGTTGGAACTGGAGAACATTATGTTAAGCATGGAAAGACGAATCTTGTATGTTCTCACTCATATGTGCTAAATATTAAAACAATTGATCTCATGGAGACTGAGAATAGAATGGCAGTTGCCAGAGACTGGGAAGGATAGCAGGGAACAGGGGATAAAGTAAGGATAGTTAATGGGGACAGTTAGATAATTAGATAGAATGAACAATATTTGATAGCACAACAAAGTGACTATAAATAACAGTAAGTCAGGGTATACTTTAAAATAACTAAAAGAGTGGAATTGGGATGTTCCTAACACAAAGAAATGTTAAATGCCTGAGGTAATGAATACCCCCATTACCCTGATTTGATTAATTTATATTGTATGCCTGTATCAAAATGGCACATATATCCTATAAAGATATACAACTATTATGTACTCATAATAATCAAAAATAAAATATATTTTTTAAATAAATAAAATTTTGTATACTAAAATTTTAAAAAAAGAAAAAGAAAGAAATCCAGCATCTCATACCTTCCTCTAAAACACATATACATTATTTCCTTTTGGTTGAATTATGGCCATTTTTTCTATACTAACTCCGTATTTTTCTTCTCTTTCTACCAGGGCAAACACTGTATACTTGACGTATCAGGAAATGCCATCAAGCGGTTACAAGTTGCCCAGCTCTATCCCATTGCCATCTTCATTAAGCCCAGGTCGCTGGAACCTCTGATGTGAGTAGAGGGCACTGGAGCCTTCATCCACCTAACTCTGTTCCATAATACACAGCAAATTGTTAACAGGTCTTATGTACAAATGCTTACACATGGGCAACGCCATCGTTGATTTTTTAAGCATTCTCTTTTTAATGTTTCCTGATTTTTGTTTTCTTGTTTCACTAGTTATTTGGTTTGTTTTAGTTTTTTGGTTATTTATTGTTGTTTTGAGGGTAGCTTGATTTGGTTTTTTGGTCTGAATTTGTTTGCTAAATGATAGGAAGCAATTATTTTTTAATTGTCTTTTAGACTTTTCCCATTGGCATTTTACTTTGTTCTATAGTAGAATTCTAATATTCCACAACTAAAACTTTACATATATGGATCACTGTTCTTAATTGGGAGTTTTCTTAGTGTTACGGCAATAAAACATCTATCACTTAAACCAATAGCTCCATACCTGTGCACATTTATAAACAAGCAGAAAATGCATGATTCAGATTTTTTCCTTTTCTTTTTTATCCCTAAAGAATTTGTAAAATATCTTCCTTCAGAAATCAGTAAATAAACTGGGCAGCTATTCACGATCTGGCTACATAAAGTCAGTGTAGGCAACTCCCATTCACAAAAGTAAAGCTACAGTAGATAAAATAGCAGAGCAAACAAGCTATACCAGCAGAGACTTGAAAATTAATTTGGCCAGGTTTGGTTCTTTGCTTTGCCCCTGATCAGTTGTGTAACCTTGGGCAAATTGCTTGACTGACCCCCTAAGATTAGGTCTTTACCTCTAAACTAGGCACGTTAATAAGTATCTCATAGAGCTAGTGTAAATTTTAAACAACAAGGTTATGAATGTAAAGCTCGTCATATAGTCTTTGGCATATAGTAGCTATTATTATAAAAGACATAAAGTTACTTTATTATAAAGGGCTAAAGGTATTTTATCATTATAGAACACAGAAACAGCACCTTTCCTAAGAGGGCACAAGAGATAATGCCAGTGAGTCTGTTACAAGAGCCTTGCTCAAATACTGCCTCCATTTGGGCCTCAAGACCACAGAGTGCTTGACAGGGTTCAGGAGAGAACCATAGAGTCCTGGAAAACAGTGTTTATGAAAAGCTGAAGAAACAGAAATTTAATCCCAGAGGTGAAAGCAGTTACTTACAGAGGGTATCGACTAACTGCTCCCCATCTCCTCCAAGAGTGAAGAAACAAAGCAAACTGTAGCAGCTGGAATGGCAGCCTGAGAGAATTAAGTTAAATACATAGTTGATCTCTGGGGAAGTTGCCAGAGCTGTATCTTAAAAGCAGAATATAGTCCCATAAATAAAAGATGGACAAGGGCTTTTACCAGGACGAAAAAATAAAATTGGGAGGTCACCAACAGTACCTTCAGCCCCATGAATTTAGGTATTAAATTATAAGGGGAAGAGTTTTTCCCGTAGTTGGCACAGGGAAAAATGTGAATTGATGATAAAACAATGGTTCTTAATATTATTATCCAATAGCACGTGTTAAATTTCTCCTTACATAGAATACTGTGTTGCGCATTGTGCAAGGTGAATGAAGTGAATTAAGCAAGTACAAATTTTATTATGTAAAAGTGATTTATAAGTTGTAAAGAGCCTCAAAAGGGCCGGGTGCGGTGGCTCATGCCTATAATCCTAATATTCTGGGAGGCCAGTGTGGGAAGATGGCTCAAGGTCAGGAGTTCGGAACCAGCCTGAGCAAGGGCAAGACCCTGTCTCTACTAAAAATAGAAAGAAATTAATTGGCCAACTAATATATATAGAAAAAATTAGCCAGGTATGGTAGTGAGTGCCTGTAGTCCCAGCTACCTGGGAGGCTGAGGCAGGAGGATTGCCCAAGCCCAGGAGTTTGAGGTTGCTGTGAGCTAGGCTGACTCCACGACACTCTAGCCCAGGCAACACAGTGAGACTGTGTCTCAAAAAAAAAAAAAAAGAGCCTCATAAACATGATAAGTATAACATTAATAAAAAGAGTAGAAAAATGGCCCTCACCTCCTGGGAACAGCCATCTTAAAATCCTGTTTCAGAAATAGAAAAATGTCTTCACATTGAAAACACACAGCGGGATAAATGGCTTCCCGGAGAAGTGAGGCCTCAGAAAGCCACCTTGGTGGCACATCTAGTCCAGTGTGATATTGGGAGACAGTCCCATCTGGTGCTCCGTAGGAGAAAGTCCACTTCCTTCCACAGCTCTGAGATGACTTATTTACTTTTGCCTGAGGGCTCTGTCATAGCCACTTACCACCAAGGAAAGCTAGCCATACTCAAGGCTGGATTGCACAATGAGGACAGTGAGTAATAATTTGCTGCAGCCATATTCATGAGTCTCATGACATTCAGACCAAAGTGATGTTATTATTAAATGCTGGATATTTACTTTTCAGTGCACTCTTTTTCAAGGCTTTTACTCAGGAGCAAAGCTGGCATGAATTGCCCCTTCCCCAGGGAGGAGCGAATGCTAGGTCAGCCAGAACAAAAGCACGGCAGCTGTCACATTTAGGTATTGATACATCATCACACACATGATTTCTCAAGTGCATCACCCACATCAAAGCACTGAGCTTATTAGCACATACGTAGCTGACTCTTGAGAGGAGCATAAAATCAAGGGCGTGTATGAAAGAGATGTTCTTTTTATATTGTGCTGCCACCTGACCTCTGTTACCTCCCTCCCCACAGCAATCAGATGCTTTCCTGTGTCTCTTCACGCTGCCACCTCCAATCTGCTTCTCCCTTCTTGCTCCTGTGTTTAATTCTGTCTTCAACTCTGACAAAATTATGTTTATTTTCTTAGCTCCCCATTTATTCATCTATTCCTTCACTTATCCATTAAACAAATGTGTTGAATCAGGCTCCATGCCACACGCTGATTTTAAAAAGGCATGGTTTCTGCCCTCAAATAACTCATAGATTAGTTTAACAGACAAAATGAATTCATACGTTAGAGGATAAAAACCTAAACCAAGTCATTGCTACAATAAGTGCAAAGGGAATTCAGAGAAAACAGACCACGATGGGCCAGGCAAGTCAAAGGGGCTACATGATTTCTTGACCCCTGGTGCAAATCACCACCTTTAGTGAGGAGTTTCCCTTGGCTTATCCCAGCATCTTCTGCACCCAAGAGTGACAACCACTCAAACTTCGGAGGCTAGGACTATTGGGGAAAAGAATTGTGGATACCATCCTTCAGGACAAAATGAGTTTACTTAAGCAAAAAAGAGTTCAGGAAATTCTCACTTCTTTATATTTCAGCCCTCAGTATGATGTCCAAAACCATGTTACTAACTTTAGTTTTTTGGGTTTTTTTTTTTTTCAGTTTTTTCCATATAAACCTCTTTTGAAAGATATCAAGTCTTGCTGTAATGGGTAGTCTGTTTGACTAAAATTTGGTTAAAAAGATTTCTTTTAAGTTGAGTTCTTACCCCAGTTTACTCTTTATTAAATATACAGCTTTATCCTGCTGAATTGGAGTAAAGAAAAAGAAAAATAAATAAATAAACAAACAAACAAACACCTTTAGGCAAGTGCCTGCATTACTTCAAGCCTCTGTTACTTGCTCTGAAAAAGGAAGTAACCAAGCCCAGGTGTTCCAGACTTGGGTCTCCGGCTTTCTAAGCTACACACAAGGCAGTAATGCTTTCAGAAATTCTACATGCACCTATGATGCATCCTGGTGGGCCAACCAAAATGTCCTTGCATTTGATGGGAGATTTGTAACACCTGGAAGACATGGGAAGATAAAGCTGGCACTGGTTAGGAATCAGATTAGATTTCAGAGAGAATTAAAGAATTTTCCATTTCTCTGCTGTCTTGATTTGTCCTTGAAACAAGGCTCACTTTAAATAATCTTACGATGATTAAGCAAAGTCTATGTATAGTTAATGATGCACCAATGGTTGACTGACACAAAGAAAAGGACAGATAGTCCCAGGCATAATTCCTTAATGGCTTATTTATCTATTAGAACAAAAGTAAACAAAGTAGGCATCAGAGATTCTTTTATACCAAGCTCCTCTATCCTGGCTCACTATTTGACTAAATTACTTGCATATAGTCTACTTGAAAATACCTTGGTCTCAGCACTTTTGATTGTTCTATTCTGTGTCTATTTTAATTCAGTCCTCCTTTGGCAGATCCTTAAGCTGTCATTTGATTATGAAAACAAAGTTCAGGGCTCTTATTGCTATAGACATGCCTTTCTATTTGCAGAAGTTGAGCAAGAAGAGCTACAGAGTGCCTTTTTAGCCTGAAAATACACATACCTAAGGGACCTACCCCATTTCCTATAATTCTTTGGAAACATCTTCTGTTTCTCCACTCCACATATTTTCAGGTACACATTGAGGATAAATAGCCTTTAAGGGTGATTAGGAAGTCAAGAGATCAAAGCCTTTTGCAAGGTCAGGACGTGAGAACAGTCAAGTCTAGTTCTCTTAGATGTGATGAGGCCCAACAAGCTGAGATGTACCTTCCTTTCCCTCCATCTCATCTCCTTCCTCTGTCCATCCCTAGAAGATTTCTTCCATTCTATAGCCTACATTTAAGATATACTAGAAGAAAATCCAAGGAAGTATGGCCAGGAAAGTTCAGATTTTTAGAAGGTATATCCACTGAGGAAATAGATGAAGCAAGTAGGATAGGTTATGCTGAAGAAGTGGAAGCCTCAAGGGACACATGAGCATTTTATTTAAATACCCTAGGGCCTGCCATGGAGGAAGTTTAGCTGTACTCTAGGGGAATGCAGAGAACAGAACAGGGACCAGTGACTGCAAATCATAAGGAGACAGATTTCAGTCCTGTGAAGGACCAAGAGACTGTTCTCTGACAGAGTGAGTTCTCTAGCAGGGAGTCCTTGTTGCTGAAGTTATTTCAGCAAAAAGGACTCCTAAATAAAGACTAGGAAGCTGCTGTTAAAATTATATTAATATGATGCTTCCTGCAGGATTTACTTTTGCCATACATTTTAATTTTTTAGGAATTAGTATATTCCCTTTGTTTTCTAATACCAAACCCTCATTTTCCCAGGGAGATGAATAAGCGTCTAACAGAGGAACAAGCCAAGAAAACCTATGATCGGGCGATTAAGCTAGAACAAGAATTTGGAGAATATTTTACAGGTAAGTTCATTTACTCTTGTAGTGTGAGAAAGGAGATGAATTGTCTGACATGTGACATAGAGAGGGCTCAGGCCCCAAAACCTTCTTGATTAGAGTTCCTAATATCTGTTTCATGTGCAGGGAGTCTCTCTGCTTTGCCTATTTGCATCAGAACTCTGGGTTCAGCTGCAGCCAGCTCCCAGATTCCACTGACCCTATCCAAAACCAGAAGCAGCAGATGCCCCTGAGCTATCACCTGCTATTAAGGAAATTTTAGGCATTGATACCTTAATAAACTATCTCCCTGATATCATCAGAAAACTTGGCAGTAAACTTTTAGGGCTCAAAATGGGCAATGTCCAAAGCAGTTACTCTTCAGAAGCAGCCTGGGGGCCTCTATTCTTTGATGACCAATAGCCTGTCTCTCCATCAGCAGCACTTGAATAGGATTCTTGAAACACTTCCCTTGTGTTTCAATTAATCCCATGTCAAGTCTCAATGCAAAACTTTTTTTAAAAAATATTTCCTTGGAAAGATGAAGTTTGGAGAACAGAGGAAGATTTTCTTCTTTTGGATATCCTGAGTTCTCTATTCTTACATGCTTTCATGGAATACAGATTAAATCCAGAGAGTAATCTTTGTGCAATTTGCCTTACAACTGATTCTCAATGACTTAAAAACAAGGACTTTCCTCCTGAATTACTTTCTGTGAAATTAGATTTTTTAAATCCTATTCAGAATATGGAAAGTGCCATTGTCTTAGCAGTTTATAAGTGTTTTGAATCAGGTAATATTAAGTAAAGTTTCTGTCAATAAGATATAAATTATGTTTCATCCTAAAAGAACATCCAGGCGGGAAAATCGATCAAAACAATGTACATTTTTGACCAGTAGTTTATGTTCAGGAATAAAATACAGTAATTAATATATTCTGAGGACTGTTTTTGAAGATCTAAACCATGTTTCAGTAGCAATTTATTTTTAAGTTCTAGTGTCGTATGGGTAATACTGATATTTTTTGGAGATCTATCTATAAGATAACTTTTGTTCAAAAGAGATAATATAATATACTTAAATCTACTCCTAGTGACTTCATGTTTTAAGTGAGATGCAATTTAGCAGTTTGTTTGTGTTTCTTATAAATAGTCGCCATAAGATAGTCTCAATAGGAATAGGCCTGTAAGGTACATCTCAGTTTACCAGATTACTTAGAAAGTGAATAGAGTTTCCTATTAAAGGCATTGGGGGTTGGAGGACCACCTAAAGTTTCCTCTAAAGCCTTTATTATTTCCTCTATGTCTAAAATATCTTAATTTCTACCCCTGCCAATGTAAGTTAAATATAGAGTCTATAAGGCCCGTTTTATTTGCTAAACAGGAAGCTCTCAATCTGAAAACTGACCAGTGTCTACCTACCTCAGTGCCCAGACGAGGTACCCATACAATCTTTATTAAATAAATTAATGATTCATTGTCCAAAACTACAGACATATAGAAAATGCAAAACTGTGATACATTTATTAAAGATCCAGGATGTGTTGGGCCGGGCGCGGTGGCTCACGCTTGTAATCCTAGCACTTTGGGAGGCCGAGGCGGGCGGATTGCTCAAGGTCAGGAGTTGGAAACCAGCCTGAGCGAGACCCCGTCTCTACCAAAAATAGAAAGAAATTAATTGACCAACTAAAAATATATATACAAAAAAAAAAATTAGCCTGGCATGGTGGCGAATGCCTGTAGTCCCAGCTACTCGGGAGGCTGAGGCAGGAGGATTGCTTAAGCCCAGGAGTTTGAGGTTGCTGTGAGCTAGGCTGACGCCACGGCACTCACTCTAGCCTGGGCAACAAAATGAGACTCTGTCTCAAAAAAAAAAAAAAAAATATCCAGGATGTGCATTGAAAGCAGTTTTTTGATCATTAATGTGACCTCGCTTATGTGAATTTTCTGCTTTTTCTTACTAATGAAAATTGCTATTAAGCCTTCTGATGAGTTATCTGTCACTGAATTGAGCCTCCACTGTGTGAGTGATGATTGCTCTTCACCACCTAGGGAATGATTGCTAACTCTGGGTGTATTTGTTTTTGTTACAGCTATTGTCCAAGGAGACACCTTAGAAGATATATATAACCAATGCAAGCTTGTTATTGAAGAGCAGTCTGGGCCTTTCATCTGGATTCCCTCAAAGGAAAAGTTATAAATTAGCTACTGCGCCTCTGAAAACAACAGAAGAGCATTTAGAAAAACAAAATATATATAATATACTACTCGGAGGCTTTTATGTTTCTGTTGCATTTATGTTTTTGCAGTCAATGTGAATTCTTATGAATGTACAACACAAACTGTATGAAGCCATGAAGGAAACGGAGGGGCCAAAGGGTGGGACAGAAGAGACTTTGCAGTATGCAGGAAGGCTTTGGTTTGCTCAAAGTACCAGGTGTAGGGATGAACCTCTGATGGGCTTTCTGCCCAAGAGATGGGAGCCTCCTCACCCCGGCAGATGTCCAGAGCTGATTTAGCTGCCGAGCTCTCTGTGTTTTTTGCTTTAAAGAAAATTTGCCAGCATTCGAACCTCACCAACCTTCCCATTACCCACATCTGTAATTGGTACACTTCGAATTTTATAACTATGCACATCCTTTGATTTCTTAACAAGCAAATGAAAGAAAGAAGGAAAAAAGAAAGGAATCCCTTTGGAGATGGCATACTATCAGGGAAGGATAAGTGTGTAGTTTTTTTGACTGGCGTCTGCAAAGACAAGCATTTCATAAAATTCACAAGTGTATGGAGGACTAACCTTACTGAGAGGAGGGGATTCCACCTGGGATTAGCTTTATAATTGTTGATTGTCTATTTTGCCATTTATAAACTGAAAGAAGGCACTAAAGATGAGAATAATTTATACAATAAAAGATATATTAAATGTATAGATACAAATTTCTATAGGTTAAAAAAGTTTTGTGAACTATTTTGTAAAGACTAATTAATTGAAAGACTAAATGTATGCACTATCAGCAGATGATCAAATTCAAGAACTGAAAGTTGCACTCTCCCTTTTGTTGCCAATGATCCATTAAGAGCATCTGAGTTCCTTCCAAGTCTGAGAAAGACTTCTTCCTCGCTTACCTCCCATTAGTGATACACTCCCGCGGAGCACATCCCTTCATGAGTTGCCCTCATGGATTTTTTGGAAGACATTTGGTTAATGCATTTTTAAGCCGATGGCTTTTCAGAGAAAAGACTCATGCAAATTATCTAAAAAGAAGTTTTTACTTTTCTCTAATTAAATAACCTGGGCCTGCCATGAAATAGCTGAATAACATTGTTCCTAGTTACTTACATAGAATTCTTAAAGGACCATTTAGTATTTTGGCCAACCATGAGTGATTAGAATTATTATTTTTGTTTCACAGAGTGAGAGTTTTGTAACAGCCAGAGCCATACTAGAGCCATGGGACGATCTGTCCCAAGACGCACTATTTCTTTGAGGAAGAAGAGAACAGAAGTATCTGACTGGGGGGGTGAGGGATGCAGACTTTTTTGTGTATGTATACAGGGCAAAGAGATAGAACCACAAAGGAAGACAATTAATGACTTTGAGCTCAACCAATTGAACTGCCTTTCTTGGGGCTGCACCCGGACCAAGTTTTCTTTTTTCGTTTTGTTTTTGACAATTATAATGATGATTTAAAAAAAAAAAAAAAAAAAAGAAACCTCCCAAAGCCTATAAACTGAACCAGAAGAGTTAGTTTCCCACTTTAGAGCTGATGGCAACATCAGCATCGCTTTCGCCCAAGGTGTTCAGAGAGAGACTTTTCAGCGATCTCAGTAACCACTCAACCCTGGGTTCTGTGCATACCCAGACTAAGCCCCATCGCCTTATTTCTGGGGTACATCAAGACCTGGCAGGAATTCTGCCACACTGTGCAGCAAACCAGCATGTAGGCTGGGGTGGGAGAGCAAGAGATAGAGCCATCAGAGTGGTGGGGCTTCTTCACAACAAGAACATCAGAGCTCAGAATGAGAGTCTCTTTCCAAAAACAAGTGTTTTTCACCTTACACTAGATACCATTGTCTGCCTGGCTGCAGTCACCAAAACAAATGCAAAATTATGCATCTTCCTATAGTCTCAAGGCTGCCTTTGCCAATGGAAGGGCTAGCAATGCATTTCCCTCTGATGAAAGTTAAATTTCCAGAGACTTCCTTAGAGTGCTCAAAATGTTAAAGATCTGTCCATGTCTGCAATTCGCCAGTTTCAGGTCAAGGCCTACTTTCATCAATATTGCTCCCAGAAGTTTTTTGCCACCAGAATGCCATTCCTGATCCCAGCTCTATTTTAGGCCACCATGATAACTTCTTTGGTTTCTCAACTGAGCATGCAATCATTTATTTAAAGGATTGTCATTAATAAGTAGGTGTTTTTGCGGGTCGTGTGATGTGCTTTCCATTTAATAGTGTAGTGTGGCTGAGTACAATCAAATTGAACCACCAACCCTTGGTTTTGTAGTAATATAATTATTTATTTTCCTAGTGTAGATGCTTCCAGATTAGAATCAGCATTTGCACTGATTTTTTATGTAGATTTATATAAATATATACATATATATTTGCTTGAAGAATCACCAAGCAAATTGGTGAGAGGGTCTTTTCCTGTAAAATTTACACCTCCATTTGTTGTGTTGTCATGCGCTTCCCAATGTTGAAGTCTCTATTGGCTCCAATGAAATGGTGTATTTTGCAGCAAGTCTAATGACTTGTTTGGAAATAGCATGAAAGTTACCCAGATTACATCTGGTGCAAATGCACTCGGAGCCTGGGGCCAGACCGGTGCTAACACTGCAAACTTTGTCCAGAGCTCTCTCCAATCTGAAGGTTTGTTGGGGGCGCAATGTCACCTTCATATGCTGAGCCCTTTCGAAAAAGTGCCAGATCGTGTCACTGGTGCTATTTTTCATGCTCTGGTACAATGTGTAGCACCACGGGGGTCTCAGCTTTACCAAAATCAAAATCCTAAGTGTCAGCTAATTGCAGGGGCATTCGGTTTTGGCTCTTCTCCCACAGGATTTGTTGGCCATTCATTTGCAGGCCTCTTCTCCCAGCCCCAAATCCTCGGGCAGGCTGTCTGCTTAGTGAGCCCTTCTTCACAAAGCCACACACTCAGGTGCCTCTGTGAGCTGTCTTAGATTTTACCGCCAGCCCTTCAGGACTTCGAGCCAGGAAGGACCTCTCCACACCTCTGGCTCGTGACTCTTTTCTTTTCTCATTCTCTTCCTCTGCTCTCCTCCTTCTTCTATTTCTGGCTCATTCCATTTCTTTTTTGTTACTTTCCTTTTTCCCTTCCCACCATCTCTGTTGACTTTCTTCTATACTCCTCTGTGCATCCCTCCTTCAGTCTCGGTCTTTTTATTCCCTTTCCCCCTCCTTTCCCGTCCTTTCGCCACTCTGCACATCTCTGATCCTCTCCTCCCTGGCACCCCATTCCTTTATTTTTCTGTCCTATAAAGGGCTCATGGGCGATTCAGACAGCAAGTCCACGCATTGGACTAGTGACACAAGTACTTTGGGTCGCCGATTCACCTACTCAGCCCAGAAGGCGAAGCTGAGTGAGGCCCTGACCTGGCGCCAGCTCCGGCCTACGTCCTGGAGCCAGCCTGCACCGCTGCCCGGCAGCGACGATGCACGTGCTGTGGGCCCTGCCAGCGCCTAGGTGCCTCCGCCTGACCGCTGCTGCTAAGGGAGCCCACTCCCAACACCTTCCCGTGGCTCTGAGGACATTTCCTTTTGATAAATGCAGACTCTGGCCCCAACAATTACTCTGACAGCAAACCTCTTCCTGCTCATTGAAGCCATGCCATCGCCTTGGTTTGGAGAGAGACATTTTTTCCCCATTCATAAGGTTTCTTTTTCCCATTTTCATGTGAAGCCCCCTCTGCTTTTCAAGCTGGTGATTGCTCTGGTGAGATTGAATGGACTCGCTGGTGAAATGACATCTCTTCTTTCCTGTCTTGGTCCTGCCTAAATTCTTACAAAATATTTAAGCCAAGGACTCAGGCTAGCTCCTAAGTTTATCATATTAATTTGTCACTACTAGGGGGGAAAAAAAAAAAGGATCAATTCCCTTTAAGCATATGGAGTACCTCTTGTGCCAACTGATTTGCCAGGGTACTCCCTACAGAATTCTGTGGCTATACATTTTACTTATGCGTATGTATGGTATATATGGTATGCATATCATGTATACACATATGACATTAGGTATGAATGAATGTGGTTGGAAACCCACACACACACTCCAGTCTGTAAATATCCTTCCTCACTGAAACCTGTGCTTCAGAAATCATTTCTTGTACAGCTGTGCAGTTTCTTGTAGCAGCTAAGGACAAAGCTAAGACAGAGGGACAATTTAGACAAAGATCATCTAAAAGAGTATAGTGTCTCCCTAGCAACTCATGAGGACAGACAACCAAGTGGCAAGGTTGACTCCCAATGGAATGGCAAGCTTTTCTTCTCTCCTTTTTGAATTTGTGTTTCCTAAGTGTGTCTTAACTTCTGAGTGCACCAGGCTATACCCATTAGATCCTTTCAATATGACAATTTTGTGCTTCTCTGACAGGATGTTTCTCCATGGAGCTGTAGTGCAGGATGGGAGGGAGTGGGGGAATATTCCTTGCCTGGGCTGGAGTTTACAGAGACACTGCACAGCTTACACTCCTGTTAAGTGTAAATATTCAACACTTCCATTCCATTTGTGTAAAAAATAAAGCACACACGATTATAAAATTAAGATGTATATTTCATACTCAGTGTGTCTGTGCATATTTATTAATATTGCGTTTCCAGTTGTCAGCAGTGGCCCCATTGTAAAAATGCCTGATAGAGTGTTTATAAACATGTCATGGTTTTATTATAAGATATAAATATTAAAACATTTTATACTTTATAGCAAATGATTTTCTCCCAAAGCATAATTTGTCTTATTTCATAGAATCACTCATTTCTATTTTTATTAATTTTGTCTGATTCCAGCGCTAATGTGCTGTGAGGATAGGTTTGCTCGGAAAAATATTGGCACTACTGAGAGGAACTGAAAGTGGTGCTTTTGCATATTTTTAAATACCGGTTCCCATCTTGCTGGCTTTTAGTCAGGATTTTGCCAAAAGTGAACAATGTAGTAAAAAATAGATTGTTAAAGATTCTCACATCTATGCAGATAAAAAAAATCAATTTCCCAGTGTCAAAATTGTGAGGTTCCAGAAGATACTAAAAATAGAGAATTTTTTTTCCCTTATCTGAAACATATGATGCAAAGAAAGGCACAAACTGGTATCATTATCTATATGATATGTTTGGGGCCACAAAACATAGCTCCAAAGATCTGTATGAATCAAAAATGTTAGGTTTTGGAATCTGGATCTGCCAGATAATGTTCTAAATTCTTCCAAGTTAAATATATGTCTTGCCATATTGACATTTAGGCAGCACAAGTGTGACAGTTTGGAGAACCAAAACAAATTCCACCCCATGAAAGGGGCAAAGTTTCCCATCAAAGCAATTGCTTTGAAGTATACTTTGCTTCATGATCAACTATTATATAATTGGATCAGCCACTGGGGAAGCCAGACTAGTTGGCAATACCATTTGGCCATCACTGTGAGCCACCAATAATCTTTGCCAGGAGTCCTAAAGCTGTTCCTGGGGTTTGGTGGTGAACAAATACTCAGAGGCGGCATAAGAAGACATTGACTGAAACTGCAAGACCATTGCATACCCCAAATTTTGACAATTATTCAATTTTTAACATTCGCACAGTCTCACATGGTTTAATATTAGTGGTGAAACTACACAAAAGCCAGATTTACTTCAATAATAGGTCTGTTTATTAAGAGGAGAAGAAATCTAGAAGAGCATTTGACTTTTCTTTGTGTCCTATTTCATTTCTGTATATTTTTAAACCATAATCATTCTAGAAGTCTTAAAAGCTAGAAGTGGGAAGCGTATCTCTGAACCTAAGAGGACCTAACTATGAATCTATGATCTCTGTAGATACTCTGAGACCAAATACCCAGTGACAGAATTTAAAAGCCTCACCAAGGCACAAAGCTAAGGAATATTTATAGAGGGAGCCACCAGCTTGCTTAACACAACCGGACACTCAGGCTTTAAAGTTGTCAGGGGAGGATGTGTTCCATGGATTGTAACCCCAACTTTTGTTCTCTGTGACTCAACTTTCCCTTAGGGACACCTCAGAAGGCACCACTGCTATTGTCAAACTGATCTCCTCCCCGTTCTAATGTTACAGCCAAAGCATCAAGTCCAGACCTGGTTTCTAATTCCTCTTAGCACAATTGGGACAAAGCTAGAATGTTCAGATAAACTTTGCTAAATGCTGGTGTTAACAAAAGGGAAATAAAAAATAGCCTGATTTATCGTATGAGCTTAGTGCCCAGCTCCCGGCCGGCTGCCATGAAATAGAGGCCATCTCTCTCCCACCACCAAGGTGTCCCTCAAACGCAGCTAGACAGATGTCAGCTTTCTTCTGTTGCAGCATACGCGAGAGGCGCTGTATCTATGCCTGACTCAGCACCTGCCACCCCAGTTGCAGGTTACAGGTGCCGGCCATCTCCATCTCCTTTGTTCCCACATGCTAGAATACAAATGGCAGTGACTCACTGTGGTTAGATTTGATTACTCTTTAATTGAAATTTCAAAGGACAAACGATTTGCAACATGATTCACAGCTGACACTGTTGCATCAGTAGAAGGTCTCTGGCAGGGGTCCTCAAACTTTTTTAACAGTGGGCCAGTTCACTGTCCCTCAGACCATTGTAGAGTGCTCACTGTGAGCCCCGGACAAGTCGGCTGCTAAGCAGGACAGGCAGCGGCGGCAAAACACCCAGAGGGCCGGATAAATGTGCTAGGCGGCCTGCTCGTGGCCTGCGGGCCGTAGTTTGAGGGCGCCTGGTCTCTGGTCTAACCTAATCAAGGCCCAAAAAGCAAGGCTGAAGAAAGAAAAGAGTTCTCTCCCATTCTCCTAAGGAAGGCCTGTCTTCCTAGTTCCCTGTCTTGTTCAGACGATTGACTCAGGTCACGTCTGCTCTTCTAGGCTTCAGAAGGCCGACCCGTGTGAACTATGCGCAGAACACTAACATCCATACAATAAGCCAAACACATAGAACAGGCTTCATTCTAGCAAAATACAATTGACTCTACTTCCACCTGAAAGGAGAGGAGGGGAAGAAAAGTACTTCATTTTCAGGGGGACATTAAAAATTTTGAATTCTTATGGCTCTAGATAGCAAACTAAGCAAACAGTTCCTTAGTAATGGAATTAGAGGCCCTCAGAGAGAACACTTGATTTCTATTCAAAGAAAATATGAGACCAACCAACTAACAGATTGAATCCTAATTGGGTTGTTTGGTTTTCATAAGCCACACCTGCATTTCTGATAGTCTTAATAACCTGTCTGCAGAAACATGTGCGCTGCCCCATGCCTTCATCTGGCAGTTCTGGTGTGAATCACCTCTGGAGTGAGGAGCTTTCTCCTCCTTGGGTTTTCCAACCAGTTTCGTCTTATAATATCACTTGTCCTAAATTTACTGCAGCCACCAAATCTAGCTTCAGGTCAGCAGTCTTTTTTTTCAACATTGGTGGCGTAATCTTGACTATCTGAAACTCTTCATAGCATAAAGTTATCTGAAAATGTGTGTCATGTATTAAACTGGGGTCAATGAATACATTAAAATTTGGAGTATTTAAGCCAACATTTCATGCAAATAAAGGCTAGCAGTTGCTTAATTAAAATTGCCCCATCAGGAAAACATTTCCAAAAAAGGCTGACATTTTTTATTTTTCATTTATCTAGCTGTCATTCCTTACACATTTGGTCAGCAAACAATAAACACCTGCTTGGAGCCAGGCCCTACTTAAATGCTAAAATAAATTAAACAAATCAATAAATAAATGCACAGAACACAGTCTGTCTTCTCAAATAATTCAAGCCTGGTAGCAGAGACATTAAAAAAAAAAAAAAAAGGATAAAACACAGAAGCTCTAAAACAGACCAGTGAGTGCACAAAGATTCTGAAAGAGTGACCTTAAGATCCAGAAATCAGACATACAGCTGTTCATGATTTGCCCCATTGCTCACACCCTGGGAAGAACAATCATGCAAACTGAGCCTCTTCTCTGACATTCTTCAATCTGTCAACCCCTGATATCTCATCTCCACACAATCTCATTGGCCACCTGACTGGCCTACCTATATCCAGTTTTTTTTGCCCAGGGGAGAGGTGAAGATGACAGGTGAGCACAGCCAGGTGAACAAAGAGGGGCAAGTCAGGTGGGCATGAGATATGGGGAGGTTAGGAGTTCAGAACTGGCATCCCTAAAAGATAGCAAGAGTTATCAGAAAGCAGGGAATAACGTGGATAATTGGTCAAGATGCAGGACAATCCATGTACTCTAAGGAGAATCTAGAAGGATGAGGAGTTTCTGTTTCCTTACAATACACTGACTACTTGATGCAAAGTTCTACTTCAAAGTAAAATGGAGCAATGAGGCCTTCATTTCTATGATTACAATTTGGAGCATTAAAACACATTACTTAGAACCATATGCACGGTTTTATTCCATATGCACGGTTTTATTGGAAGTAATGGTTTTCCAGTCTGGAGACTTAGGTCAAAAACATTTGATAAAGTTAAACTCAATTTCTTAAAAAAAGGATAAATGTGGGGCCTAAACCTATGATATGAGTATGTTCCTATTTCTGCTATTAACTCAGGATGCATCTTAAGAAGATTTAGACAGAGTGGTGGTTGAAAGAGAAAATTAATATAATATGCTGGTAATTGTCTTGGTATTTTAGAGAATAAGTTCTCAGTTATTTGGTGTCAGGTATGACCTTGACATTGAAACCGACAGGTAATCTCCAAATTCATTTTTAGTTAACCACCTGTACTCCCTGAAATTTTGGCCAGAGCCCCAGAAAAAGGGCAATGCTGTCAGAAACGTGGCTCCACGATTTCCCCAAGTGAGGAACCAATGCACAAGGGTGAGTTACAGGCTGTAAAAGGAAATGAGACTGAAAAATGCAACAACTGGCTGGGCTACGCTCATTGAAGTTACGTATTTCACCCAATGATCTGAAGCAAGTTCACAAGAAGAGAATTTTAGTACAGTCCCCAGTCACTGGTTTGCCTGACCCCCTGATCACACTGTAGGTTAGTGAACAAAGAAAGCATGCTCTGTGTGTGCTGGAACAGGAAACTTCTCTTTTGTCATTATGTTCCTTTGGTAAAAGAGCATCACAGAGCAGGGGCAAGAGGTTGGCCTTGGTGTCAGCCCACCTGGGGAGGCTGCAGCCCAGGCTTTGTGTCTCCTCCTCTCTGTTAACTGCTCACTGAGCTCTTTGCAGAGCTGAAAACATCAGCCAGTGATGCACCTCCGGAAATGTGCAGACTACCACCTGCACCTCAAAATGTGTCTGGAACCAGAGGTACTAGCATCACCTGGAGCTGGTTACAATGCAGAATCTCAGGCCCTAATCAGACCTACTGAATCAGAATCTGCATTTTGACAAGATTCCCCAGTGATAACATGTATGTTAAAAATAGCAAAGCACTGGTTTACAAAATTGAAGCAATTGTGAAGAAAAGAGATTGGAAAAAAAAATATTTCCTTATAATCAGGGAAGTTACTACCATAGTGAAAAGAAAAAAAGTGAATAGCAGAAAAGGAGGAAAAAAGATATCTCTTGGAGTAAGCAAATAGCTTGGTGGCATCATCCTTAAACTCAGGAACCCGGCCAGCCGCTGACTACTCCAGGGTAGGGAGGAGAATGTGAAAGCCACACAGTGAAAGCACTTGATCAACAGGGTTTAAACCCAGGACTGATTATTCCCACTGCACCAGCTGAGGAGGCAATCCTT